CTTTTCGTGGTAGTTGTGCAGTGTATCATATGGTCGACTCCGTCCGACTATACTGCTCCGCTCACTGGTTAACTCTTGGGGTCACATGAAGCTATAATACACTTACAACATAGTTGTGGAGGGTATAAAAATAGCTATAGGTCAAGAATTTAAGTTATGGCGTGATGAATTTGTTCCTGGTAACTCTAAAGTTTATAAGGCAAAAGCTTTATATATTTTTTTTGAAGTTTTTGCAGTTGATTTTTGAGATGTCCTGTCTTCAGTCAAATCCACAAGAACAGATTTTTTAACCTCCAAATATTCTACAAAAATATTATTCATAAGGCTTTAGATAGGGTCTCCAAAGACAAGAAATTATTATTCGCATGTTTTCATCGTCCTCTTGTTCCCCATTCTTGGCCATTAGAATCTTAGGTCTACGAGCACAATTTTTGGGTGTGAGCGTACCAATAGTCTTCGAAGTTTGGAAGGAATATTACAATGTAAAAAATTTCAATAAAATCTGTAACATTTTTCATGAATGATCGTGCTTTAATCAACTGGAAATTGTCTGAAACCGATGTGACCAAAGAGAAACATGGGGTCTAAATTATCATTAGCCGTTAGGCTGAGTATATAAACATGATGCAACTGTAAACTTTGGACTTCAGCACAACATGATTGATTAAGTCCATCTCAGTAGCTGCGTCAACACACAAAATTGTGGCATATCGGAGAAGCCTATCCATCATTAGCGTGTGGCTGCTGTTTAGTGGAAGACATTGAACCTATATATATATTTTTTTTTTTCAAAAATAAAGTTTGGAGAAATGTTGAATTATTTTTCTATGTTCCTAGCTGGATGGTACTGATCTGGACAAAAATTTACTTTTAACAGGACGGCGCTATATGTCACAGAAGCGACGAAACCATTATTCTTTTGCTGAGAATAGTTTTTCGAGCCTTTTATCTCTCAAAAATGCGATCAAATTGACCATCGTGATCTTGTAATTTAACACCTTGCGATTTTATCTTTCAAGAGCTCAGCATCGATTATAGACCATCCTGGATGGATTTCACGAGATTATCGAGGACATAGGGCAACCATTTTACCATTGCAAAATTTTACATCTTTTATGGTCCCACAAACGAGTTCATGGTGGGCAGTTGGATGATATGTATCTCCATTTTTCTCCGAATACCTGTATAACTCTGCTTATTGCATAAATTCGATATGTTTTCGTCAGTAAATTTATCTGAAAATATATTATCTTGAGAAAATAGATTCCCAAAAGAAATTCTATATGCCGTAATATTTTCATTTAACATCCTCCCAAAAGTATGCTCTTCGTTATGAAATAAACAACTGTATCTCAGTTTTTCTTTCTAAATAACACCGCTTATTTAAAAATGCGATATGTTATGGCTAATAAATTTCCCCCAAAAAAATATATTATCTTCAGAAAATAGTTTCCAAAGATGCATGCAATGTCCTCCCAAAAGTATGCTTTACAATTTTTGCAACAAATTTAGCCCTTTATTTTGAATAGGAATTTATTAGGGTTTCCTCCCTTCTCCCACTTGCCTTTCAACATTTATTTGCCACACATTAAAACATTATTTTAGCATTACAAATTATATGTTGCATACTATTAGGCACGGAAGAAATTGTGTTGCCTATTTTCAAGGCTGTGTTTTTATGCTATCATTCAAATGAGCGAGCTACTATCTATCAACAATTAAAACCAAGAATACAGCCACAATTTTTTTCAACATTTATTTTCTTTATGCCTCTACATTTTTTTCTCTAAAATTTGTATTCTGCAAAATTTCACCTAAAACTATATAACATGTTCAGTCATGTGCAGCATTTTTTTGAGGTTAGCATATAATTAAAAGTACTAATGAATGAATATGCCACGAATATGAATATGCAAGAGATTTTCTAGAAACAATTTTTCAAATTAATGTAGATATACTCAGATATCAGCTGTTCCATATACACACACACAACTTTGGCATATTTCATGGCATACTTTTAGGATCACAAAATAGTTGGTTTTATTAAAATATATAAAGAGAAGGTATTTCGTTTCTGTCATCTCTGCTTATTAACATTTTCTGTGCCGAATTTATTGCCATATAATTTCGTATGTTGATGTTAAACTAAAGTAATTAACAGAAGAAGAGGAATATTAATGTTTTCTGTTGGGGTTTGAATTTTTGATTTCATAGCATTGTTTTGGGGATTGTAATTAAATTGAATAAATTGTTCCACCTTTTCCACCTCTAAGCTTTGTAGGAGAGTAAGAAAAATTAAAGGTCAACCTCAACATATGTTACAAATATTTTAATTTTTACCAATTAACCTGAAAGTATGCAATGAAAAAAATCGCCTCCCTACATATGTTACAAATATTTTAATTTTTACCAATAAACCTGAAAGTAGGCAATGAAAAACCAGTAAGGAAAGTAGTAAAGTCGGACGGGGCCGACTATATGATACCCTTAACCACTATGGGTATATTAAACAGAACTATTAACATGAAATTGGATGAAATAAAATATGTGATATTTATATAAATGTGAATCTACCTAGATCTATCCATAAGGTATGTAAATCGACTTCAAACAAATATAAATAGGTCATCCGTTGGGTTATTTCTGTACTTCTAGAAAACGCAACTACATAATTCTATGCTCAATTTTGTAATTTGTGCAAAATTTGATGTCAATCTGACTAACATGAGGAGTTTGATGCCCAATTTACTTGAAATCTGGCGAAAATATATATGGAAGCTCTATCCAAATATTAAGCGATTTCAAACAAACTTGTCACAGGTTAGGTTATACTAATTTCAGAATGTTTTGTTCCTATCAGCATATTGGTTCCTTGGTGCGTCAATTACTTAAAATAAATCTATAATAAGAGGGAGCTTTATCTAAATCTGGACCGATTTTCACGAAACAAGGCAGACATCACTCTAGGCTCAATTCAGTACGTTATGCCAAATTTCGTGCAACTCGAAAGATATATAGCGACTTTGGTGTACCATTTACATGAAATCGGACGAAACTATATATGGGAGCTATATCTAAATCTGGACCGATTTTCTCGAAACTTGGCAGACATCACTCTAGGCTCAATTCAGTACGTTATGCCAAATTTCGTGCAAATCGAAGGATATATAGGGACTTTGGTGCACCATTTATATGAAATCGGACAAAACTATATATGGGAGATATATATAAATCAGGACCGATTTTCTCGAAACTTGGCACACATCACTCTAGGCTTAATTCAGTACGATATGCCAAATTTCGTGCAAATCGAAAGATATATAGGGTCTTTGGGGCACCATTTACATGAAATCGGACGAAACTATATGTGGGAGCTATATCTAAATCTGGACCGATTTTCACGAAACTTGGCATACATAATTCTAGACTCAATTCAGTACGTTATGCCAAATTGTGTTCAATCGAAAGATATATAGGGACTTTGGTGCACCATTTACATGAAATCGGACGAAAGTATATATGGGAGCTATATCTAAATCTGGACCGATTTTCACGAAACTTGGCAGACATCATTCTAGACCTAAAGGATTAGGCTGTACCAAATTTCGTGCAAATCGAAAGATATATAGGGACCGTTTACATTAAATCGGTTAAATATGTATATGGGAGCTATATCTAAATCTGAACCGATTTTTCCCAATTTCAATAGGGTTCGTTCTTGGGCCGAATAAGTGACATATGCCAAATTTCATTCAATTCGGATCATAAATGCGACCTGTACTTTGTTTACAATTTAACATGGACAGACAAACGGACGGGCATGCATAAATCGAAAGTGATTCTATGCATATTCTCAAAAGGAACCATGCGTCTATCTCGTTTCCTTTTGCCTGTTACAAACATATGCACAAAGACATAATACCCTGTACCACAGTGTGGTGAAGGTTATAAAAATCGCCTACCTACCAGATAATCAGCTGTGTCACACATAACTTTGGTATTTAAGGGCATACTTTTAGGATCATAGTTGACTTTATTGTAATGTATAAATAGGAGGTATTCTTTTCTGATGTTCAGGATTTATTGCCATATAATTTCGTATGTTAATGTTCAACTAAAGAAATTAAGAGATTGGTAGGCTTTTTTGAATTTTAATTTAATAGCATAGTTTTAGGGATTTTAATTAAATTGAATTAATTTTTTCTCTTTTCCAACTCTTGACTTTGACGTAGAATAAGAAATGTGAAAGCTTAGCCTTAACATATGTTACAAATATTTTAATTTTTGTCAAATTAACCTCAAAGTAGGCAATGAGAAAAGATGATAGGCCACATTTTAGGCTAATTACAAAACAAACAAAAAAAAAACTGAAAAATTATTTGTAACATATGTTTAGGCTAAGCTTTCATTTTTTACTTTCCTAAAATGCTGAGCAATATTTATAATATGCATATATATTGTTGCATACATTTAGGTCAACTAGCCATGTTGCAAATTAAATACCCAGCCTAGAAAAGGCATACATTTTATTTGTATGTGTTTTTGTGGCCTACTTTTGGGGGGCAATTTGTGTTCACATTTATTTTGTTTTCTCTTCCAACATTTCATAATTTTAATTTCAAACAAATGGTTTCAACAAAAAAAGGAAATAAAAACGTCGACCACTCGGCAGCCAACAGATGGCGCTGCATACAAATGTGTGTGAGGTTGTGTGTGTGTGTCTTTTTGGAAAATATCCAAACGACATTAGCTAACATAATTTTTTTCCCTTTCAATTCAGTTTTTCTCCTCTTCGTGTTTGTGTTGAGCATTACAGGAAACTAAATATCCGAGCATCTGCTAGGGAGATATGTATGAGAAAAATAAAAGTCCTTTGCATTATTTTTCCCTCCTCCTATTCCCTTCTAGATGGGGGTTTTTCATTTATGACATTTTTTATGTAAATATTTTCCGGTTTTTTTCCACCGCTCATCTCTTTTCATCATCTTCTCTCGTTACAGTTTTACGGGATGATTTTCGCGCACAGCCAAAGGATACCCGGGTGGCTAAAGGCGAAACAGCATTGTTGGAATGTGGGCCACCAAAAGGTATTCCGGAGCCAACATTAATATGGATGAAGGTAAGTTTTTGTTGTTGCTACTGCTGCTGTTCTTCTAACATACTTAGAGGACGATGGAATGGCTGACTGAAATGCCATTTGTTTTTTTTTTGTACTATTACAATATGTATGTGTGTGTGTACACATATATGAGACATTATTAAGTAGATATGTAAATATGCATATGTGTGCGGAGAACAATATCATTTTGTTGTTATTATGTTGCACACACACCCACACATATCACATTATCCCTGCTGTTATTTTCAAAAATGGGATGCATGATTTCCCATCGCATCCGTAACGCATATTCATGTCATGCATAAAACATCGCCCGCCCGGCTGCCTCCCTACCAGGAAGCAAAAACAAATATCATGCTTCTTAACTACAGGTGTATACCATAAAGCTCAATCAAATAACACATAATATTGCATACCTTAAGGGGTAAAAATAATATCATTGCAAATGATTTAAACGGAGAGAATCCTTTGCTTTCTTTGCTCAAGATAAATATGATTTTCTTATTTTTCTCTCTAAACTGAAACGCTCCCCCTATTCATATACCACTTTATTTATTTTTATACTGGCTCTCTCTTTCCCGTAAAATATGCAATAAAATTCTATATTCATTTTCCATTTTGTTTTGGTTAACGACACCTGTGTGTGTGTGTGCCAATCCAAATAATAAAGGATGGGATGGAGTTAGGACTTTCGCCAGAAAATGGAAATGTCATGCAAAATTTATTTCCAAAAAAAAAAATAGCAAAAATACAAGATGGAATGGAATTTGAATAATACTACAATTGTTTTTTATGTTGTTGTTGTTTTTGTTTTTTTTATTTCTTTATAAAAAAGTAAAAACAAAGTAGACATGATGGAACATCATGGCAATGTGGATTTTAAATGTGGAAGTAAATATTAGAATTTATTTTAGGATTTAGCGAATATTTGGGGTTGTTAGCTATATGAGGGCTATGCCCAATTAATGACCGACATATGTCAATTTCGAACCCAACATTTGAGTTTTGTGTCTCAATTCTTTCCTTCAGGAGGCATAATTATATGTGGGAGATGCCTAATTGCTGGCCGATATATTTCATTATCGTCAGCTTCGAGTTTTTTTATCACGATAGAATTCCATAATTTGTAGGGTAAAACTGACTATTTCGTGTAATGAATATCCCCTATACTATGGTAGAAGACGCCTACATGGGGACAACACCAACACATGGAACTAATCAGTAACGAATTTAATATAAGAAGGGGGGTTATATGAGAACTACCCCTAAAAGGGGGGTGAACATTTATAATTTTTGGTGGGAATATTTGCTACCATATGCGACTACCAAATACCAAATTACACTAATTCGGTTGAAAAACGTGCCCAAGAACCCCAAAATACCGAAAATTGGGGGTACCCTTATATGGGGGCTATGCGAAAAAATGGACCCATATTTAAAATTTTTAGTGGAGTGATTTGCTATCCAATAATAACTCAATGTACCGAATTTCAGCGAATTCAGTTGAAAAACGAGCTCAAGAACCTGAAAATACCGAAAATTTGGGGTACCCTTATATGGGGGCTATCCGAAAAAATGGACCTATATTTATAATTTTTAGTACGGAGATTTGCTACCCAATAAGAACCCAAAGTACCAAATTTCAGCGAATTCGCTTGAAAAATGCGATAAAAACCCCAAAAATTCCGCAAAATTGGGCGTACCCTTATATGGGGGCTATGCGAAAAAATTGACCTATATTTAAAAGTACCAAATTTCAGCGAATTTAGTTGAAAACCCCGCTCAAGAACCTTAAAATACCGAAAATTGGGGGTACCCTTATATGGGGCTATCCGAAAAAATGGACCTATATTTATAATTTTTAGTACGGAGATTTGCTATCCAATAAGAACCCAAAGTACCAAATTTCAGTGAATTCGGTCGAAAAATGCGATAAAAACCTCAAAAATTCCGCAAAACTGGGTGTACCCTTATATGGGGGCTATGCGAAAAAATGGACCCATATTTAAAATTTTTAGTGGAGAGATTTGCTACCCAATAAAAATTCAAAGTACCAAATTTCAGCGAATTCAGTTGAAAACGCGCTCAAGAACCTTAAAATACCGAAAATTGGGGGTACCCTTAATGGGGGCTATCTGAAAAAATGGACCTATATTTATAATTTTTAGTACGGTGATTTGTTACCCAATAAGAACCCAAAGCACCGAATTTCATCGAATTCGTTCGAAAAATTCGATAAAAACCCCAAAAATTCCGCAAAATTGGATGTACCCTTATATGGGGGCCATCCGAAAAAATGGACCCATATTTAAAATTTTTAGTTGAGTGATTTGCTACCCAATAATAACTCAATGTAGCAAATTTCAGCGATTTCATTTGAAAAACGCGTGAAAAACGCACCTTAAAATACCGAAAATTGGACCTATATTTATAATTTTTAGTACGAAGATTTGTTACCCAATAAGAACCCAAAGTACCAAATTTCAGCGAACTCGGTTGAAAAATGCGATAAAAACCCCAAAAATTCCGCAAAAATTGGGTGTACCCCTGTATGGGGGCTATCCGAAAAAATGGACACATATTTAAAATTTTTAGTACGGAGATTTGTTACCCAATAAGAACCCAAAGTACCGAATTTCAGCGAATTCGATTGGAAAATGCGATAAAACCCCCAAAAAATTCCGCAAAAATTGGGTGTGCCCTTATACGGGGGTTATACGAAAAAATTGACCCATATTTAAAATTTTTAGTAGAGTGATTTCAGCGAATTCAGTTGAAAAACGCGCTCAAGAACTTCAAAATACCGAAAATTTGGGGTACCTTTATATGGGAGCTATGCCTAAACGTGGACCGATGTTGCCCATCATCGAACATGATTTGCCTGCAGACAAAAGACGACGATATACAAAATTTTTTTGCGATCTATCGCAATTCGTGATTACAACAGGCAGACGGACATGCATGATCGTCACAGAATTTTACGCTGATCAAGAATATGGATAATTTATAGGGTCGGAAAAACAAAACTTATATACCCTCCATACTATGGTGGAGGGTATAAAAATTGACTAAATATATTTTAAAATATAGCCGCTACTAGGCCTTACAAGTATAGCCCCTACTAGGCCTTATCAGGCTTATAGCTAGAATTTCCAAAACTATTCTTAAAAATTCTACCCGTCTAGATAGACATTGAAAATATATATTTAAAACCAGTGAGCGCGGAGCAGTATAGTCGGATGGGCCCGACCATACGATACCCTACACAACTACCACGTGGCTTTAACTTTCTGCGGATTTTTATTCCGAGCCTGGCCAAAATTTCGTGATAGTTGCACCCTCTTGTCCGATTAGAGGTCAACCGAACCTCTTCCTTACACTGACATATTTTCCGAATATTTCTAATATTCGGTACTTGTCCATATTCCATTCGCCGTGGGTTGTGTTTTGATGTTCGGCATATAATTACAAATTAAGTTTTCGATCCACTTCATCCCAAAATTATTATCTGATCACCACAGAAAATATAGACGTTGTCCTTGGCGATAACTGGAACCTCATGGAAATTCCAAAGCGATCAGCCAGAGGGCGAACCCTCTGGTGTTGTAATGGGTTAATATATAATATCTGAATACGTAAACACCTGCAAATATTTAAGTGTAACTCCCACATCCGAGAACATACGACAATATAATTGGTATCAATTTAAAGGTCAACCGTTTTCTTGGATATACTATCAACTTCTCGCGTCTATGTCCTTCAGGGTTAAATATATACGCTATAGAACACACATTTTGTCATTTTTCACACAAATGTCAAGGTCTATTTGACCCGCCAAATATTGACCGATCTTTATCAAAACAGGCATGCTTATTCTATGACCCGATCCCGTTCTCCTTGTGAAAATTCGCTATGTTTGGGCCATAATTGCGGCCTTTGGAGCGGCCAGAATTTTTCACACAAAAGTCAAGGTCCATTTGATCCGCAAAATATTGACAGATCTTTATCAAAACAGGCATGCTTATTCTTTGACCCGATCCCGTTCTCCATGTGAAAATTCGCGATGTTTGGGCCATAATTGCGGCCTCTGGAGCGGCCAGAAAATCAGACAAAAATAATGTTTTTTTGGTCCATTTTATCATCTAAATATTAACCGACCTTTAGGGGTCTTCATTGGCCAGAACCCATCCTACATGCAAAATTTCGGGAAGATTGATCCATAACTGTGGCCTGTATCGTGTTTACAAATTATAATAGACGGACGGACGGACACACATGTCTAGATCGACTCAGCTAGTCGAGATATACCGATCGGTATACTTAAAGGTGGGTCTAGGACCAATATTTCGCGGCGTTACAAACTCTTGGGGCTGCACAAAGCTATAATACCCTGACAACATAGTTGTGTAGGGTATAAAAATCACTAAAATAGAAAAAATATTTTTTTTTTACAATAGTCCCTAATTATATTTTAAGAATAATCTTGAAAGGGTCCTAGAATAACTTTCAATGATATTACCATATATGTTTCAAAAATATTTATCAAAGCTTTCAAAAAAAATATTCCGTTCGTCAACAAACTAAATTTGACTTAAAAAGAAGCCAGCCATTTGTGCGATGATCCTTTTCTTTTATTTTTTCCATTCGAAAGAAATCCAATTCTCAATACTTATGATGCATGACTTATGGCGCATATGAAATCTTATAACTCTCATAAGTGCAGTAGTAGTGCAAACAAAAAAAAAAAAATAATAACCGAAATATATCTACACACCCACACACATACATACATATTTATATGAAAATAAACCATAAAGCAAATATAAGACAATTTCATTTCAGAAATGATAACCCCCAAAAATATCACCTCTCATACTCATGTTTATTTTTTTCTCTCTTCTCTTCTTTTTTTCTCTTCAACATTCTTCGTTTCATCATCGCCGAAAAAACGCAACACCCCCAGGATGGTGTGCCTCTGGACGATTTGAAGACAAAATCTTATGGAACCACATCACGTATACGCATTGTCGATGGTGGCAATTTATTGATAAGCAACGTTGAACCAATTGATGAGGGCAACTATAAGTGTATCGCTCAAAATATTGTCGGTACCCGAGAGTCCAGTTATGCTAAACTAATTGTCGAAGGTAAGTTGTATACACACACCTACACATGTACTTACTTTCATACCAAAAACACGAGAGTCCACTACGGTTTGATTGAAGTGATGGTGATACAAGTGATTTGATATTCTACAACGGTAAAAAGAACGAACGGCGGACATCATCATCGAACGTAACGTTTAGGGAATATTGTTTTGTTGCCTCTCTCTCTCCCGCTCTCTTTGTATACAAAATATGAATGAATGATACTTCTCGGAAATGTGTTCGTATGTTGGAGTGGAAGGAGAAGGCGATGTACATAGTACCTAAACGTGATCAGGTTTGTTAAGATGCGATAAAATTGCCTTTGCGGATTGTGTTGCTGTAAAGAGATGACCATTATGTTTTGATGATGCCTTCGTCGTCGTAGGTAGTTCGGGGGAATGCTACCGGTCGGTCATTTGCTGCTGACACATGTAAACGCGCGTGTGTGTGTGTAGGTGTGGCTAACGGCGGAAGCTGTTAACATTTATGATTTCGTGGGAATAGTTGATGAGGGGTTTGTGAATATTTGATGGATGGAAATGATTGACTAAGGGACACACTTTTTTCTTGAAGGGGAAAATTTGGAAGGTTTTATGAACACAAAACATTGCATACTTTTAGGCTGTAAATTTTTTTTTTACTTCTAAGGTTAAGCATTTTGTCTTGCAAAAGGTGTAAAATGTAACTTAACTGACAAATTCTATGTAAAATATATATATATATTTTTGGGAAAAAATATATTTGAAAAAAAAAAAATAATAATTTTAAGAATAAACCAGTGAGCAAAGCAGTATAGTGGGACGGGGCCGACCATATGATATCCTACACAACTTCCACGAAAATCTAACTTTCTGTGGTTATATATTCTGAACATGGAAAATATTTCGCTATATTTGCACCCTCTTGACCGACTAGAGGTCAACAAATATTACTAATATTCAGTAAATCCCTTGTAATTACTTGTCCAGATTCCCTTCACGGTGGGTTGTGTTATGATGTTCGATTTTCAATTGTGGCCTATATATTGACTAGAAAACACACAACTTATTATGTTTTCGGTCCACCTCATCCCAATATTATCTGATCATCACCGAAAAATATATTTCGCGGCGTTACAAACTCTTGGGGCTGTACAAAGCTATAATACCCTGACAACATAGGGTATAAAAATAAATGTTTTCATTTTTTTTTTCAAAAAAATATTCAAAAACCAGTGAGCGGAGCAGTATAGTCGGACGGGGCCGACCATACGATACCCTACACAGCTACCATAGAACTCTATCTTTCTGCGGATTTGTATTCCGAGCCTGGGTAATATTTCATGATAGTTGCCCCATCTTGCCCGATTAGAGGTCAACAGCACATCTTCCTTACACTGACATATTTTCCGAATATTACCAATATTCAGTACAGCCCTTCTAATTACTTGTCCATTTTCCCTTCACCGTGGGTTGGGTTGTGATGTTCGGCTTATAATTGTAGCCTATACATTGAATACAAAAAAATAAGTTTTCGGTCCACTTCATCCCCAAATTATTATCTGATCATCACCGAAAATTAAAGGCGTTGTCATTGACCATAACTGGAATCTCATGGAACATTTTAAAGCGATCAGCTCTATATTTCCGCCCTCTAGTGTGGCAATGGTTTATTAAATAATATCTGAATAAGTAAGCACCTGTAAATATTTAAGTGTAACTCCCACATCCGAGTACATACGACAAAATTGGTTTCAATTTAAAGGCCAACCACTCCTCTTGGATATACTATCAACTTCTCGGGTGTAGGTCCTTCAGGGGCAAATATATACGCCATAGAATACAAATTTTGTCATTTTTCACACAAAAGTCAGGGTCGATTTGACCCGCTAAATATTGACAGGCATGCTTATTCTTTGGCCCAATCCCCTTCTCCATGTAGAAATTCGCGGTGTTTGGGCAATAATTGCGGCCTCTCAGCGACCAGAAAAACCGAAAAATTTTAAGTATTTGGTCCATTTCATCCCCTAAATATTAAACGATATTTACCAAAAACAATAGGGGTCTTCATTGGGCCGAACCCATCCTACATTCAAAATTTCATGAAGATTGGTCCATAACTGTGGCATGTATCGTGTTTATAAATTATAATGGACAGACGGACAGACGTCGAGATATGACGATCGGTATACTTAAAGGTGGGTATAGGATCAATATTTCGCGTCGTTACAAACTCTTGGGGCTGCACAAAGCTATAATACCCTGACAAACTTAGATGTGTAGGGTATAAAAATATATGTTTTAATTTTTTTTTTTAAATATTCAAAAAATATGAGGATGATGGAAGTTCTTTTGTTTGCATATAGTCTATATTGTAGGTAATTTGAAGTAATTCTAAAGACGTAATAAAAATCGTCTTTAGAATTACTTCAAATTACCCACAATCTAGACTACTGGCAAACAAAAGAACTGCCATCATCCTCTTCACATAAAATTTAACTATTTTGAAGTTCACACAAAAATCCTGTACAACTTATAGACAGACTTTAGAATTCCTTTACTCCAAACAGTGAAAATTCTACAACAGATTCAGAGTCTTGCTAAGGCAAACAAACAGAAAAAAAGAACAATCAAATAAAAATCAAAATCCCAAACATAACTACCAAATATGAAAAAAATAAAAATTCTAGCACTCAAAGAAATGAAAATCACTTCAAACAATATTCGAAAAAAATAACAACTGTGACAATAACAAATAAAAACAACAAAATAAAAAAATAAAAGATGCACAGCAGGATTTGGCACGATTTTTTACTGTAGAATAAGAAAAAACTAATAGAAGATTTTTTCTTATACGACATGAAGACAAATATTCAACATTTAAATGAAGGCAAATTCATAAAAACTCTTGAAGAAGAAGACAAAAAACTGGAGCAAAGTCATAATACCACCATCACAAATGTCACCAGAATTATTTCCTGATGGTAATAAAAACATGTGGCTTTAATATACTCTCACGCTATTTCTCCCTCCCTCTCTCCTTGTATATACGAGTATTTGGCTTGGTTTTAGTGTTGAGTTAGGAAAAAAATGCAAATGTGCAGTGGACATTTTTTTTTGGCAGTCTAACCAGTCTGTGCGACAAATATCTTCCTCCTTTCCCTATGTTTCTCGCATTGACTTTGTCAATATATTTGTCTAATAATCGTAAAGCGTTTAAATTAATAGCAAGGGAATTTGGAAACTTTGTTGTGGCGTTAGAGGAATGATAGGCGATAGCTATCAATGCCACAGGATAGCTGTAGATTTGGTAAAGATTTTCAAAAAATCTTAAATAGGAGAACAATTTCTTTAGAAAAAATTATATATTAAAAAAAAACAAAACTAAAAATTTCCTAAAATATGAAAACATATAGAATAATTATAAAAAATAAAATTTTCAAAAAATCTTAAATAGGAGAACAATTTCTTTAGAAAAAATTATATATTAAAAAAAAACAAAACTAAAAATTTCCTAAAATATGAAAACATATAGAATAATTATAAAAAATAGTTATTCTATTAAAATTCAGTTCTTTAGGAAATATAGAAAATTTTTATATAAAAAAAAAATATATAAATTTGTCCTTTGTAAATATAAATATTGATTTTTATTAATTTTCAAACATAGTTACTAAAAAACTTTAGCAACTGAAAAAATTATAATTTATATACAATAAAAATTTTCATTAAAAATTTTCAGAATTTGTATAGGATAGTCTTAATATTTTTTTTTTTATAAAAAATACATTTGAAAGAACTTTTTAATACTTATAAAAAATGGAAACCTTATTAACAAAAAATAAAAATATTTTATTAAAAAATATATTTTTTCGTTAATGTTATAAAAAATTTGTAATATTTTTATATTTATAAATTTTTTATACAAAAAATGTTAATATTTTTTTATAAAAAAAATAAATATTTATTTTATAGAAAGAAAAAAAAATCAATTATAAACTTAAATATTTCTTTAAAAAAAGGGTTTCTAAAAAACATTATAAATTTTACGAACACATTTTTATTTTTTTTTTATGAAAAAATTCAAATTTTTTTTATAATTTTTTTTAAAAAAAATAATATTGAAAAAATTACATTTTTATATTAACAATTTCAATAATTTTTATACAAAATATTTTTTTATAAAAAATCAATATTTTTTTTTTATAAAAATCAATCATTTAAAAGAAATTCGGTAATTTTTAGATATATGGACATGAGTAATCCCAGTATAAATTTTTTCAATATTTTTTTTATTAAACATTTTTTATTAAAATATTTCATAATTTTTATTAAAAAAATGGGAGTATTTTTCAATAATTTTTATAGAAATTTCAATAATTATTATAAAAGTCAGTTTTTTATGTTTTTAAAAAATATTAACGATATTAATAACAAAATCTTTATTAAAAAAAATAAAGCAATGAAAAAATATGCTTTGTTATTTCAAATTATATACGTACGTATACGTCTTTATAGAAATTCTTAATGTTTTCATAAAAAATATTGAGTTATTTTTTTAAATAATTATATATAATAAAAATTTAATATATACAAAAAATTTCAATATTTTTCAGTATTTACTTAAAAAAATCAATTATTAAAAAATTAATATTTTTTATGAAAAACCAAAGGAAATGAAAACATAATAACTTTTGAAACACATTTTTAATTTGTTTGTAAAAAACCAAAATTTCTTGTAATATATTTTTTATACAATTCATTTTTTTATTAAATACATTTAATATTTAAAATTTCAATATTATTTAAATTAAAAATTTCAATATTTTTTATAAAAAAAATTATTTCATAAAAAATTCAATATTTATTCTGTAAACAAAATAAATATATTTTATGAAAAGATCTTTTTTATAAAAAAATTAAGAAATATTAAAAAACTGTTTTTATAAACATTTTATAATTTCTGTAAAAAATTATAATTTTATTTTTTACTTTTTTGTAAACATTTTTAATTTTTATAAA